TCATGCTCAGGGGCTTGCTTCTGTCAGTCATTCCTCTCTTGTCAGGCCTGGAAATCAGCATCGGATATTTCAGATCATTCCAGCTGCGTCTCTTCTGTAACTCTAACAGAGAAAATGATTTTTTCCTGTCTTACTTTGTAAGAACCAGCCACAGCAATCAGGAAGGATGTATTCTTCTTGGTGTCTGAAACTTCTCCTGTGCTCATCCCCCAGTTTTCCCTGGGGGCTTTAGGGAAGGCAACCATGCTAGCTTTGGCCCCAGTTCTGGATTGTGAGCAGGAAGGAGTTAGCTTTGCCTTTCTCTCCATCACAGGGATGGGAGAGAGAGTACAGCACTTGCCGGGTAAGTAAGAGGACCCGAGTTCAGTCCCTAGGACCCACATGTATTTAATTCCACTGTGCCTGTGGGAAGACCGGAGGCTGAGAGAGGAGACTCCCTGGACGTGTTCCGGTCAGCTAGCCCCGTGTGCGCGGTGGACGGCAGCCAGGTGGAACACAGAGTCCTCCGACCTCTGCTCACGGCACGGCATGCGTGCCCGAGTGCGAACATGTGTGAACATTCTCCCACACGTGACCTGACATTGGACTCTGTTCCAGTGTGCTTGAATTCACAGCTTTGCCTTTCTGAACATGAATTTTCAACTTTGGAAGAAAAAGAAGAAATTCTTGTCAGGACTATGCAGAAAACGGACTCGGGTAGCGCATGGGAATCAGGAGGATGCGATTCTGCCGTCTCTCAGGCATGTGTCCAGCGGACTTGTCCTTCCTTTTCACGCACTGTCCTCCCCCACGGGGAGTCCTTTGTTTACTGAGACTGGAAAGGACTATAATCTTTTCTGATATTATGTTGGGTCTCGAGGTACACATTGCTACTCAAGCGGGGAGCAGACACTGGTTCAGTTTGCCTCACAGATGTCCATCGCGCCGACTGTTCTTTGAGATGAACAGGGGCTTTTGGAGACATTGCTAGTTTTGCCGCAAAGAGGAGACAATCTCCTCCTTTCTCATGCTTGCCTCCGGCTCCCCCAGGTCTGTCCAGAGACAACAGTAAGAGATGAAGGTGTCTGCTAGTATGATCCCAGAACTGATCATGTCCTCTGGTTGCTTGAGATCCTTACAGGAACCTGAAGAGTTAATATTAGTATCATTAGGCTAAAGAGGTTTAAAAAAAAAAGAAGAGGACTCACCCATGGTCACAAACCTGCTGCAAAAGATCCAGAAAGACTCACTGTGATAACACACCTGCTGCAAACGATCAGGTGTCTCCATAACTGTTGCTTATTGTTTAAGGTGAAGGAAGACAGAGCCTGCAGGAGAAACTGAGCACAAAATGGAGGGAGGAGAGAGAAAAATAGAAGGGGAGGAGATGAAAGAGGGACAGAGGGAAAGAGAAAATCAAAACGGAGAAACTCTTGACTTTAGATGGATTGTCTGATGTTAGCCCCCCCCCCTTTTTTTTACAGACAACCTCCACTTTTCTGTTTCCTAGGGACACACCAGCTTTGGAAATAATTTAACCCAAATATTCAAGCTGTTGGAATGGCTCTCCGTGTTGCTGCTGTAGTACGGCTCACAATTATAATTAACGGAACATCTTCCCCGTAAGCTCAGTGCTGCCTGCACATGGCGGAATAGCTAATGGGCTAAGCATACAGAGACGTGAACTCAGAAGTCCATTTGTTACAAGCAAGAAAGGGGAAGCAATTAGTGAGACATTTTTCAGCAAGGAGGAAAAAAAAGTACCCGAAAAATCTTGTGTTCCTGAGACATGTCTAAGATGAGTCTCAGGCCCCATTAAGGGTGTGGTAATGAAGAGGGTTTGTGAGCCACAGGGTGACTCTGTGGAAAGGTTTTTTTTTTCCTTCTCAGGAATCAAGATGCATTAGCCTCATTATTTGCAGATACTTGACAAGACAAGAGCAGAGGGAAGCAGGGACATAAGGAGAGGCAGTGAGGGGAAGGAGGAGGCCCGGAGGAGACAAGAAAGGCAGCTGAGTCTTTTCTGTTGCACAGTCCCCTTCAAAGAGAGGGGGAATTCCAGGAGAAGACGATACCCCTTACCTGGGGCATGACCTCGCCAGTGGGACCCAGTGAAGGCGTGCCTGCTCCTACCTCACCTCACACACGCCATCCCAACACTGTCCACAGCACTGATTACACACTTTGCCATTGCACATGCTGTGTTAGAATCAACCTCCGCCATCCACCATATTCTCTTCAGTTTCATCCATGAAAGACTAGACCCTAGACTAGCTTGGGTTGGATCTTGACTTGCTGCCTAGAGTAGCCCCTGCAAGGCAACAGGAAAGGACTCGTGGACACAGTCGCTCACCTGATCTTTTAGCAATAGGCGTGTGATCACAGTGAGTCTTTCTGGATCTTCCTGCATCTTCTTCAGGATTTATGTCTGAGCAGTCATCTTTGCTTCCCTGGCTGTCTTCTTTAAAAGTCTCTTGAGAACACGTTAGGCGGGATTCAGTACCTGTCACTGTGGAATGATCAAGCAGGAGAATGGAAAGGCCCATGACTTAAACGGGAATCAAGACCACTGGACTTCCCAGAGTTTTAGCTTACACCTTCCCATCCGCACTGGGTTATCCGTAAGTCCACCGGGGCTCACAGTCACTAGAGGCTTTGCTACCACAGGTCATGGAAGACAGTCCAAAGGATTTTAGATGTGAGAGTGCTGTCTTTATTTGTATTATTATTGGAATCGCTCTCTAGAAACGTAAATTTCAAACAGAAGAGATCAGAGCCGGCTGAGACATCCATGGGTCACTCTGCACATCTCTGCAAGGAGCTTTGAGTGAGTCCACATTAACTCAGAAGGAGGAGATGCCCCTGAGAGCTGCTCCTCAGGGGGCAGTTTTCAATCTCCAACTTGTTCACTCTGGCTTTAAAACAGGGATGACTATGTCCTCCAGGGCACATTGAGAAATACCTAGGGGCGTATTTTTTTAAGTAGGGTTTTGGTACATTGTCCAAACTACCCTTAACATCATAATCCTCGTATATCTTTACCCAACCCTTGCCTGTGTGCTAGTATTTACAAAAGATGGGTGCTGTTTGGAGACAGTTTTGGATATCATGATTTTAAAAAGGTGTATCAGCTGGGGTTCCTGAGAGAAACACAACCAATGGGAGGAAGGTGACATATAGGTAGATAGATGACAGATGATTGACAGATGGACAGACAGATGATAGTTTTATAAGTAGATATCAAGATGATAGATTATTGATATATGGGTAAGTATAGAATAGATGGTAGACAGCTGAATATATTGACGATATGTTATTGATTGTAACACAATAAATAAATGAACCCAGGGACTGATATTGGGGTTTGAACTTCAAGATGAACATCAGAAAAGCAAAGTAGCTGGCCACTAGCTCTCCTGTATAGCTCAGGCTGAAAGGCTGATCCACACACTAGCTCTTCACCAAGTCTCAAACTGCTGCCTCTCCTCTCTGCGGCTGGAGAATAAATGCCTCCTCATACCGACTACTTGTTCCTGGGTGTGACCTATAATTCTATTTTAGACTGACTCAATCTTGTTCAGATCTGGGTGACCTTGGACTCACAGAGATCCAGTAATCCTGCATCCTAGGATTAAAGGTGTGTACCACCACCTCCTAGCTTCTAGCTGTTAGGACTAAAGGTGTGTATCACCACTGCCTGATCTCTATAGCTTGAGGCTGACTTTGCTTTCCTGAATTCTCAGTCAAGCTTTAATAAATCAAAGATACCATATCACTACAATTGATAAATGATGGATGATATGTATCTTTCGGTATCCAAGGTATACATATATATGTATATTTTGCATGTACATAAATGTGTACATACATCCATGAAATGCATGTGCATATGTATGCCTTATATGGTATCAGCTCACATAATGGCAGAATTTGAAAAGCCCCAAGCTGTGTTGACTTGCTGGTAGGGGATTGCTGGTAATGCAGATCAAAGGCCCGAGAGCTTGAGAGCCCAGGGCGCAGATTCCAGTGTGAGTCTAGGACCCTGGGCACCAGGGCTGAAGGTTCCCTCCCTCACTGTCTGTTCTACTCAGGTCCTAGCACACTGCCTTGTGCTAGCTCACATTTGGGGAAAGCCACCTTGTAGTGTGCTCCAGATGATCTTTCTGGATCACCTCCACAGAGGAGCCTAGGGCTACTGTTTATCTGGGTATCTGCATGTCCTGTGGTTCGGTCAAATTGACTATCCCAGGGGGTGTTCTGGCCTTACAGCAAACTGTATGCATATGACAGTGCCCGGGACCACACCCAACAGAGGATCACACTGTCCAGAAACAGTATGAAGCCGTAAACACCTTGATTTAGAGTATGCCAATTTTTTCTGGCCAATTCCGTTTTCTCTCGCCGTGCCCAAAAGCAGTGACTACTGTTGGAATGTCAGCACTTCCTGAGCCACGTGTCCCAGTCTCTCTTTCTCAGTGGCAGAGCACCCTTCTCCGATGGGGCCATTTCTGTCAACCAGGCTTGAAGCACTAGCATGGAGGGCAGATCTCCTGTTTGTTTTATCCTTAAACCTTCATTTAATCTATTTATTGAGTGTGTGAATGTGTGTCTACACGTGCCATAGCTTGAGTGTGGAGGTCAAGGCACAGCACACAGGGATTGGTTCTCTCTTCTGACGATTGGCTCCTGGGGATCAGGTTTAACAAAATTGCATCTACCTGCTGAGCTGTCTCGCCAGCCCAAGTCTCTCACCACATCTGCGTGAGATGTTTCACTTCACGCCTGTGTGAAATTCTAGCCTGGCATCCACGTGTTGACTTCATAACTGATGCCATTAATGACATCTTACTAGTACCTATCACTAAATGGGTTGTTCAGATAGATCCAAGACAGTTGGCAGGACCCGGGAAGGAAGCTGGACAACCACATGCTTTACGTTTCTGTGCTCTCTGCCAGCCCTTCTGAAAGGAGATACATTCAGGGCAAGCCCTGTTCGAACAAAACACACTTCTGAACCAACGTTCTGGGACACCAAAGAGCCTTTAATCACAGAATGAACACCAGAAGTATCAAGAGATAAGGAAATAAGCAACATTGCTAGAAACCCAACCAGAGATGCTCAGACACGAGCCTGCATAAGGGTCAAAACCAACCCAGACGTCTACGTTGACTTAAACCTCATCCTCCAGGTAACTGAGGCACTTTATATATCAAGCTAAGGACAATTCACCATGTACATTTCAGCATTGATCTTTGGTAATCCGTGCTCTGTGCAATTCAAAGCCCACCCTCTAGAAAGGAGTTGAGTGGAGGCAGAAGAAACAAGGGAATCCGAAGATGCCTCAGAGGGCAGAGCATTGTAGTTGGAAGTGAGGCTGCCGTGGACGGAATCCCTGCTGTCAGTCTGTGAGAGGGCTCTCCTTAGGTGTATGCCGGGCCTGTCAGCTGCTGTCCTCAAAGCTGCCACTGTTCTGGCGGGAGTGAAAGTGCATTGGGCTCATGGGGTCAGACACGTAGCCTGCATCAGGAAAAGAAGTTCGGACGTTACTTGTTGACCTCCTGGCACCTCCCCCTGCTTGCATTCACCAGTTGAAGCCAGTGACACCCGTAGCCGCCAGAGAGTCCTTTGGGACCCTGGGACTGAAGACTGGACCAGAGTCCCCGGTGCCGCCAAGATTTAAAATGGAAACATGGTGCTGGCACCAGATCTGTGACAGCGTCTGCTTTGAACACTGGTCTGTAGTTAGCGTTTGGGTTTACAGGAGAGAAGCCCATGCTTCTGGAAGGACACCTCTCACGATAGTGGAGAGCGCAGGGTTATGTTTTTTTTTTTGTGCCAGGCAAGCGTGTTTTAAGTAACAGTTCTGTGGTTGCTGTTGTGGGGATATTTGTCAGCTTAAGCCTTTCTAAGGATCAGCAGTCTCATCTGTAAATGGGAGAATGGTTAGTTCCTATTGCATGGCTGCTGTCTATGTCTGACGACTGGTGGTCATCACCAGGGTATGACACAAAGGATGGCCTGAAAGGGAAGGATGATGGGGAAAGAAGAGGAGCCTGGAAACAATGCTTGCTTGTCTCCCTAGATGTTCACATTTTAAGTGCTCATCAAATGGTCGGGTCTGAAGACCAGAGGCATTCGATGCCCTTTGGAGCAGCAGCCCTGGGCATCTCCAAGAATGGATCCACTGGCTCTAGAGTGGATCCACTTTCTCTAGAGCACAGCACTGGATACACTGGTTATGGAGCACAGCACTGGATACACTGCCTCTAGGGCACAGCCCTGGATACACTGTCTCTAGAGCACAGCAATGGATCCACTGTCTCTAGAGTACAGCACTGGATCCACTGGCTCTGGAGCACAGCACTGGATATACTGTCTCTAGAGTACAGCACTGGATACACTGGCTCTAAAATACAGCACTGGATACACTGGCTCTTGAGCACAGCACTGGATACACTGCTTCTAGGGCACAGCACTGGATACACTGTTTCTAGGGCACACCACTGGATCCACTGTCTCTAGAGTACAGCACTGGATACACTGGCTCTTGAGCACAGCACTGGATACACTGCTTCTAGGGCACAGCACTGGATACACTGCTTCTAGGGCACAGCACTGGATACACTGTTTCTAGGGCACACCACTGGATACACTGGCTCTAGAGTCACTGGATCCACTGGCTTTAGGATACAGCACTGGACAAAAGAGCTTACTGGGTCAATGCAGGTGGCTGCTTCCTTTCCACACTGGCACAGGACCATCCACTACTTCTGCAAAAATGGGTGGTTTACCAATAACTGCTAATGGTTTTCCCCTGTCAAAACCCAGTTATCAGGGACAACACATCACTTTTAAGCCATGTAGCCATATGCAGGAGTTTGGGCACATTTGCTTTCAAAGGAAAGGTCTCTGTCAAAAATCTTTAAGAAGGCATGCCCTAACAAACTCTTCTGTGGGAAAATGCCGCTGACATTGGCACTTCTAAGCATCAGGATTGACCCAGGTCAGAGCTGAGGGCCAATGTGTGTGCATGTGTTGTGTGCGTCCATGCATGTGTGCCTGTGTGTGTGTCCATGCCTGTGTGCATGTGTGTGTGTGCATGTGAGCATGTGTGAGAGCACATGTGTGTTGGGAGGGGAGGTATGTTAGATGAGAGAAAGCCAACTCACATCACCAAATCTTAACTGTTGGCCAGTAAAGCAGAATCATCATCCCAGCTTGAAAACATTGCTTTTGTCCAGCTGAAATGCAGCTTCTTTCTGGGCACAGAGAGAGCGTTATTCAACTGTCAGTGCGCTGCGACTTTCTCATCTTCTAGCGTTCCACACGCGATTGCGCCACCAGCTTTGGCTAGGGCAGCACCTCTCACCCCGCTGACCCCAGTGAAAACATGACAGAAAATGTGGGTCCCACAGGGTGGGCGGGCTATGCTTCAGGAGTGAGTGACAAATTCAGCAGCCCCCGGGGCTGCTGATGTCCTGTGGCCGTGCAACAACCAGAATTTGACAGCAGAGTGCAGGAAGAGACAGAACCACAGCTCTGTGTCTTGTTACCTAAGGGCGAAAGTCTAACATTAAGGCTGAACATCTGTACACTCAGTTTTACCTCCATATTCTACCTCTGCCTACTGGTGTTTAAAAAAATAGCTGGACCCACTCATTCTGGCTTAGGGAGCCAGCATGGAAGAGGGGTTGAAGAGTATAAGAAGAGGACTGCCCTGAGTGTTGCTGAGAAGTCTTAAGAGAAGACACTGGCATCTCTTGAAAGATGCGATGCTGTGACACCTGGAGACATTTGCCCTCTGAGGGATCCAACGCTGGACTTGCCAGGTACTCCAACAGCTGCTGACAGGAGCCCACCTACATGCTAGCACACACAAGAAGAGCACCCTTGCCTCTAAGGTTCTGAGGACAGCCAGAGCTCGCTGCATTGCACCTAAGCAGAGAAATTTCCCTCTGTTTCTTCCAGGCTTCCTAGTGCCTTGGATAGCAGTTCTCTGAAGTGCCTAGATCCTGTAAGGTAGGGTCTCAGGCCACTAGTGTCAGCCTGTTCGTTCATCCTGAAACACAGGTCTAGCGTCAAATCTGTCGTGTTTAACCAATGTGGTCAGTCCTTCATGCAACCAAAGGAAGTGGTCATGAAGAAATAGGTCATTGAACTAACATTTATACTAGTATAGAGCCTCTCAGACTTAATGCTGGAAGAGATACCATGACCCTTGTCCCAGCTGACAGCAGTTAAAGTCGGATGATATGATATTTCTAGTAGGAAACAATATAGCATACTTATCTATAGGAATTATCAACCTATCCAAACACCCCAATGTAGCTTATGGGAAAGGCTTCTGTATTTCCCTTGGCTTCCAGAGGCCAGCGTCTAACTTTATTAGTTATTCCAAAGAACTGTATTAATTCATCATGGAGCAGTCCTGTGAGGTAGACCCAGGCAGCTCTCCTGTGTTGCTGAGCCAGCTGTTTGAGGGAATGGGTGGATTGCTTTGAACCCTGGGTTGCTAAGCTCCTACGGAAGAACTCTCCCAGGGAATGCAACCGTGGGAACTAATTCCTGCACACAGTGATGTGGGCTCAGAGGGAGTGGGTCCAGGGCAATGATGGCAAAGGGTTTATAATGCCAGGGGAGCCAAAGATTATTTACACAAAACCTTGCATCTTCTTAAGTCTTCATTACACACAAATTCACACACGCCTACAATCTCTGGAACCTGTGTACACTCCAATACAGACATATGTTCATATATATTCTTGGCACTCTGACTCATACATACTCATACCCTTGAACTCACGTAACCCAATGTGTTCACACTGAAACTCTCACGCACACTCACCCAGACATGCACACTCACGCTCACACACACACACTCTCTTGTACACTTATACTCATGCAGAATCTGGTACACTTTATTAAGTTTGAAGATAAACGAAGCGTTATAAAGGCTTCAGTTTCAGAATCTTCAGAATATATATATATATATTTTGATTGCCTATCATTTCTGGTAATTGCAAAATACAAAAAAGAAAATTTCCCCTGCTACCAAAACGAGTGACAGCCCCCTCTTTAGGAGCGATTTCCTTGATGTCTGTTACTTACCGTATTTGTCAGTGGCTGAGTACTGGGTACTTCTGCCCATTTCCTCCAAAGACAGGCCTGGATTGGAGTGTGTCCCGACACTGGAAGATGAATGAGACACTTCTTTACATGGGGGGAGCTAGGCTGATAAAATATCATATAAAACAGAATTCAGATGCTCAGCAGAGATCCAAAGAAACGTCAATGAGCTGTCTACGCAACCTGAGTTTATTTGTATATTGTTTCTGTTGAGCTCAGAACTGTCTGAGTAAGCTAGATCTAGTCTGGCCCCTTCCCCATAAGTTATGGTTGGCTACACCCTCTCTCTGAGCCTCAGTTTACCCATCTTCACAACAAGAGGAGACATCAGTCTTTCTGTCATCTTGTTTTAGTGGGTGGATATAACCAAAAGGAGTACCAAGTCTAGATGCAGCCAAGACGGCGATCTTTACTTTAAAGAAGCTAATGACAGTGATGCCTCAGGGGACGTACACAAATGCAGCACACGCTCAGCACAGTAGGTCTACACAAATGCAGCACACGCTCAGCACAGTAGGTCTACACAAATGCAGCACACGCTCAGCACAGTAGGTCTACACAAGTGCAGTACACCCTCAGCACAGTAGGTCTACACAAATGCAGCACATGCTCAGTACAGTAGGTCTACTCAAATGCAGCACACGCTCAGCACAGTAGGTCTACACAAATACAGCACACGCTCAGCACAGTGGGTCTACACAAGTGCAGCACACGCTCAGCAGTGTTGTGTGATGATAACCCCACAGGGCTGTGCTAGTGCTCCTGTCTGTGGGGCGCTTACATGCAGCCTTCTACTCCAGTCTGCATCCTCTCGGCTCACAGGGAAACAGCATCCCCCGGGATGGACCTTCCCAGCTGGGTGTGGCTCATCTAACACCGCATCCCGGAAGCCTGCACACACACTTGCCTGGTCCTCAGGAATGCAAGGTCCACAGTGTTCCCTGATCCTGCTCTCTCCCCCAGTTCCTCCTTCAGCCTCTTTAAGATGTGGCTTTCTTCCCAGTCCTGATCTCTCTTACTGACCACATCTGCTGGGCACTGCACACACTGCATATCTGCCGTCTTCCCTGCGTTCATTTGATCCTCACTGTTCCCAGAGCAGTTGCCCTCGGAGCCCAGAACCGGGCCTTCCCTGAGTCCACACCAGAACCACCACGCCCTCCCCAGGCCCACAGCAGAGCTCTTCATGCCATGAGCTCCCCAGTCCCTTCCCTGGCTTTGGTCACCCGCCATCAATGTCAGCCAGTGCCATCCGCCAAAATCCCTGGTGTGTACCCTGCAGTCCCCACCGTCTCTCCTTGCAGTTGAGGCTCCTTTGCCATCCACCAAAATCCCTGGTGTGTCCTCTGCAGTCCCCATGGTCTCTCCTTGCAGTCGAGGCTCCTTTGCAAACACCACCAGGCCCGCCCACCACCACTCTTCTTTTAGGGAAACCTTTTTTCTCCTTAGGACTTCTGCAGTCCTCCTCCTAATTGGTCTCTCCGCTTTCACCCCTTTCCCCGAGTGATGCGTTCTTCCCATACTTTCCATAGAGCTCTTTTCAAGATGCAAAGCAGGTTAAGACATCTGCCTGCTTAAACCTCCCAGCGAATTCCGGGTTCACTTGGGACACGATGCAAATGCCCTACTGTCTTCACCTGAGCCTGCCCTGCCTCCTCTCCAATGCATTTCCTACTCTTTACTGCATGTGCTTCCCCTTCCCCTCAAGCCCGACTGTTTTTTTTTTTAACCACCTTGGGGCCTTCCCATAGCTAACTCACTTTTAAACTCCTCCTTGAGAGTCCTGATGCTGAGAGTTTGCCTCGCCTCCACCTATGCAAAGTAGGGGAAATAACAAGACTCGTGTAGGGGAACTTTGGTGCGGGTATCATTTCAAGTCTTTCGGTTCCGGGGTTTAGGGAACACTCAGTAAAAATCGCTTGAATTTAGTGTCTGTCCAGGTCAGCCAATTCTGTGAAGACCTCTTGGGATGCCTGCCTCCTCTTCCGTACCCTTCAGTAACCCACGCTGTAGTCTATAGTCCCGGTGCTGCTGTGAGTCTGCCCTGGTGTAGAATTGCCTGTATTATTAGTGTGCCGTTGAACTCAGTTACACAGAGGAGATCCAGTTCCGTGTGGTTGGACTCTCACTGGGATTCTTCAGTAGTTTACAGTCAAAATGGAAGTGTGTTAAATAAAAGCAAGTGCTTTGAAACTGTTCTGTTAGAGGAGTCGGAGTTTTGTTTATTGCCTGCTCACACTTAAGTGAATAACTACATCTGTAGCCTCACCTCCTTAGAGGGAGGGAATAATTAAAGGAAAAGATGACAGTCTCAAAGCATGACGCAGCTTCATCTCAATCAACTTTAAGTAGTAAACTCTGATCAGTAGACTGTTGACTCATTTTCAAAGTTCGATTTCTGTGTCTGTAGCCTCCTTAGGACTCTAGCTGCCTTTAAGCAATGCATTCTCTGCAGTAGTCTGGGCAACAAGATGGTAATAGGGAATGAATACTTGATCACCAAAGTGGCTATCTGGTTTCCCTTGAATAAAAGCCTATCTCCAGGGTGCCCTGGGTGTTCAGCGGCACGTGCAGCTCATGCCTGGGAACCTAACCTTCCCCAGGAGCTGCCATACACACTGGCCTTGGCCTCCATTCTAGGGTGTCAGACAGATGGATGCCAAGCACACCCAGGCCACACAAAAGAAGAAACTTGACCCCAGTTGGTGGAGCTAGTTGTTCACACCCATGCACGTTACAGCTTCCGCAAGGGTTTCACAGATGCTCGTAGGGTAAGGCCGTAAGAAACCAAGGCCCTTCCGGTGATGCAGCACCCACAAAGCAAACGCCTGCGACTCCGAGCCCATGGCAGGTAAGGCGAGCGCCGGCTTCTGAGTGTTCTTCTGTCTGTTTCTGTTTCTCTCCGTTTCTTTTGTGTTTTGAGGCAGGATCTCAGGTAGCCTCTGTCTGGCAATGTAGACCAGGGTGACTTTGAATCTGGATCCTTCCGTCTCCGTTTTGCAAGTGTCTGAGTGACAGGCATTAATTGCCACACGCAGCTCATAGTGTTTCAGTCAGTATGAAAACCAGGCAGCCTTCTTATGCTGAAAGGGTATCATCTATATAGGTATACCTGTAGCTGTATGACTAGGAAATCCTGTGTCTATTTTGTGAGCACAATGTAATTTTTTTTCTCTTACAAAAAGAGAACAAGATAGTTTTAAAACTTTTTTTTTGTAACATGATATAATGTATCTGAGGACTGAACAGTCTTTTCCTCTTTGGACTAAACAATTCACATGAATTCTGTAGCCTGCACGTGCAGAGCTGTTGCTGTTGGCTGAAGTAAATGTGACAACCATGCCAACAACAAGTACACTGTGCAAAAATTGCTACCCACTGATAAATAAATCGAGCTGTGTGTAAGGCCAGGGAGCTGTGGGTAGCAGATGAGTATCTGAAGATGGAGCCCATCCCAGGGAGGGCTCCACTCCTTCAGGCGCGAGCACTGCAGAGTCTACAGCCCCATCACGTGGGCTAATGGACATTATCACAGTCACCGCTCCAGACAGGTAGGGCTGGTTTTGAAACTGTTCTTTTGAGATTTCTTAGACTACTAGAGGCCGCTGACGTTTGAATAAGAACAGGGAAGGGCATAGATCTCTTTTACGGTTTGATGAAAAGGAAGGAGGAGACCCTCATCTAGAAGACACATGTGGCTTCCAGAAGAGTGTCGGGCAGGTCCTTCTCACGACCACTTGGCCGGTAGGAAAGGGAGACTTGTGTCACAGGACAAGTGGTTAGAGGGAATCGTTGGTGAGGTGACTCCAGGTCTGCCTCAGCCCCTATGGGCGACTGTCCCTGCAAGGTTCAGCTGAGCCTTAGGCATTGGGAACAATGAAGTCTGAAAACGAACTGAGCCATAATTACTTCTGACTGTGTGACACCCAAAGGAAAAAAAGGCCACCAAAAGTAACCCTTCTTTTTTAGTACCTTCTTCCTTGGTTGAAAGCTGTAGCTTTGGGACTATGGTTTGGTGCATTGCAGTAAATGTATACTGTTATCCTTGGTGAGGCTGCTATAATGAAATTGAAACAATGGAATAAAAGACACAGAACACACAAGTTCAACCACAGTGACATAATAATAGCAATGGCAAATGCCTATACTTATCAAGGGCTCTGTGGATGGCAAACACTCTTCGCTGCTTGGCTTGTAACATTTCTTTTTTTGCACAAGCCCCCAAGGCACCTGGAAAAGCACAGCCTTGTCTTCACACTAGAAAAGTCAGCTCACATGTTCAGATGCCTGGCACCAGGGCAAGATGCTGATCCAGGGCTTGAGCCAAGGGCTGTCAGAGCATCAAACCAGACTCTCCCTAGCAAGTAGTCTACTTAAGTACAGTGTATACCAAACTATTCTATCGCCTGGGAACTCACTAGGATAGTCGTGAGGAACTACAGGTATTTGTATCTCTGGAAAATGAAAGTGAGCAAGAAACTCCTCATTATAAACCCCCTTCGTCTTCACAGAAAAAGTAGAACCATCTTCCTTATGTCTTGTTCTGCTTGCTTTCTGAACGCTGTCCTTTCCTCTGAGTACACATGCCCTTGTTTCCTTGCAGGGATGTTAAAACGTGAGGTACATACATGCCTGCATGCATGCGTGCACACACACACATTCACCTACACACACATGCAAACACACACTCACCCACACACACATACATGTAGACATGTGAACACACTCACACACATAACTGTATACACATGCAAATAAAGATGCACATGCATATGCACATTCACCTACACTCATGCATACATGGCATGCACACACACATTCACCTACACACATGCACACATGTATGCACACACATGTACACTCACATACATAAATATACACTCACAAATATACATGCACACATTCACCTACACTCACACACACATGCACACACATGTACACATGCATGCACATTCACACACATAACTGTATACACACACAAATAAAGATGCACACACACATTCACCTACACATACATGTACACATGTTTGCACACACATGCACACTCGCATGCATAACTATA